CCCGCAATAAGGGTTTAATAACCGCATTAAAATCACGCCAGAACATATCAATATTTTAGGACATGCAGGAAAAGCTTTCTTAGCACATTGGCAATTGTTTTGTTCTCTATGCACAAAAGGGAACAAACCGCCAACAACATTTTGCCAGCCGAATCCAAAAGATTGCATCAGGTCCCGGCATTTGTGAGCCAAAATAACTGCCGTGTGTGGAGAGATTTGTCTGTGTTGTCCTTGTTTGTGGCATTTCATGGTGTTATTGCCTCTGTCTCCTGCAGGGAAAATAATCTGGAGGAGTGTGACCTGGAGCTGTACTTTGTGCAGGACATGGAGATCTTAGGAGAAGTGACGTCCCATAAACTGAAAGAGGGCGGGGAAAACATCCGTGTCACAGAGGAGAACAAAGAAGAATTTATCACGTACGTAGCTTGGAATAACTATTTCCTTACATTTTACCCCGCATTCACTATATCCGCTCTCCCTGCACCTGGCATTCACTATATCCGCTCTCCCCGGTCCCTGCATTTACTATATCTGCTCTCCCTGCACCCGGCATTCACTATATCCGCTCTCCCCGGACCCGGCATTCACTATATCCGCTCTCCCCGGTCCCCGCATTCACTATATCCGCTCTCCCCGGACCCCGCATTCACTATATCCGCTCTCCCCGGACCCCGCATTCACTATATCCGCTCTCCCCGGACCCCGCATTCACTATATCCGCTCTCCCCGGACCCCGCATTCACTATATCCGCTCTCCCGGACCCCGCATTCACTATATCTGCTCTCCCCGGACCCCGCATTCACTATATCCGCTCTCCCCGGACCCCGCATTAACTATATCCGGTCTCCCCGGACCCCTCATTCACTATATCCTCTCTCCCCGGACCCCGCATTCACTATATCCTCTCTCCCCGGACCCCGCATTCACTATATCCTCTCTCCCCGGACCCCGCATTCACTATATCCTCTCTCCCCGGACCCCGCATTCACTATATCCTCTCTCCCCGGACCCCGCATTCACTATATCTGCTCTCCCCGGACCCCGCATTCACTATATCCGCTCTCCCCGGACCCCGCATTCACTATAACCGCTCTCCCCGGACCCCGCATTCAGTATATCCGCTCTCCCCGGACCCCGCATTCAGTATATCTGCTCTCCCCGGACCCCGCATTCAGTATATCTGCTCTCCCCGGACCCCGCATTCAGTATATCTGCTCTCCCCGGACCCCGCATTCACTATATCTGCTCTCCCCGGACCCCGCATTCACTATATCTGCTCTCCCCGGACCCCGCATTCACTATATCCGCTCTCCCCGGACCCCGCATTCAGTATATCCGCTCTCCCCGGACCCCGCATTCAGTATATCTGCTCTCCCCGGACCCCGCATTCAGTATATCTGCTCTCCCCCGCATTCACCCCGCATTCACTATATCTGCTCTCTCCCGGACCCCGCATTCACTATATCTGCTCTCCCCGGACCCCGCATTCACTATATCTGCTCTCCCCGGACCCCGCATTCACTATATCTGCTCTCTCTCCCTCCCCGGACCCCGCATTCAGTATATCTGCTCTCCCCGGACCCCGCATTCAGTATATCTGCTCTCCCCGGACCCCGCATTCGCTATATCTGCTCTCCCCGGACCCCGCATTCGCTATATCTGCTCTCCCCGGACCCCGCATTCGCTATATCTGCTCTCCCCGGACCCCGCATTCGCTATACCTGGTCTCCCGGACCCTGCATTCGCTATACCTGGTCTCCCCGGACCCTGCATTCACTATATCTGGTCTCCCCGGACCCCGCTCCCCGGACCCCGCATTCACTATATCTGGTCTCCCCTGGACCCCGCATTCACTATATCTGGTCTCCCTGGACCCCACTATATACCTGCATTCACTATATCTGTAATTTACAAGTGTTGTCATGAGCAGAGATGTAACTTTCAGCTTTCTATCACAGACTCCTTACAGACTGGAGATTCACACGTGGGGTGGAGGAGCAGACTAACGCGTTTCTGGATGGCTTCAATGAAGTCGTCCCCCTGGAGTGGCTGCGGTACTTTGATGAGAAGGAACTGGAGGTAGGTTCGCTGGATGACAGTTGTCAGCTTTAGTTGATGGTGTACACACTGAAACCTGCGCTGAGAGGAAAACTGCTGCAGCCATTGCTGACCTCTCTCTGAAAATGCTGCATTGTCTTTGGATTTAGTACTTTCTAATTTGGAGAAACTATGAACATCAGGAAAGTCAGAGTGAAGTGTGTTCCAGGTTTGTTCCTCAGAAAGCGTTGAAGCCGTAGGATTAGTATGCCAAGCAACCAACGTTTTCAGGAAAGGCAGGCAATGGTAGCTTCCATATTTGTGGCAGTACAATTCTCCTTAAAGCGGAGCTCCACCCAAAAGGGGAAGTTCCACTTTAAGTCTTTGTCCCCCGCTCCCCATTAAGGATTGGCACCTTTGGGGAGCGGGTTCCCAAATTTGACAGGTGCCCGCTCCCACTTCCGCTGCGATTGGAAGTTGTCCTCCCTCCCCGTACTCTTCTGGGACACGACAGGTCCCAGAAGACTACGGGGCCATTCGCAAAGCGCAGCGCTTCTCGCGCATGCGCAGTGGGCACCCGGCTGTGAAGCTGCAAGCTGTCACAGCCGGGTGCCCACACTGAAGATGCCGGCGCCAGAGAGAGAAGACGGCTAGTGAAACCAGCGGTGGTGAGGACACCGCCGGACCGAGGGACAGGTAAGTGGCTGTATTTTAAAAGTCAGCAGCTTCAGTTTTTGTAGCTGCTGACTTTTTTTTTTGTTTGAGGTGGAACTCCGCTTTAATTAGTTTGCAATTGCTAGTATGAGGAGCATTACATTAAGCAAGTGTTTACAAGGTATTGTGTGTATCAGGAGATAAGAGGGGGGACACTGGAAGAAGGGGAGGATCAGAGAAGACAGGATCAAACAGCCTTTTTACAGAATGCAGAGGATTAACCCCTTAGGTCCCACAGTGAGTATAACAAGCACGCTTTACTAGATATACAGACTGATTTTACTGCTGTGGGTTTAGTAACATTTTAAGGTAAAAAAAACATTTTCTATTTGTCCACGCTCCCTCTTTCCTGTGTGAAGGGGAAGAGAAAGGAGAAAAGATCATCACTGTGCGTGGCTCCACTCTCTCTTTGCACACAGGGACTTGATCAGCAGCAGGAGCCATTGGCTCTTGCTGCTGTCAATCAAATATATTGAAGAGGAAGTCGGTGGGCGTGGCTAAGTCCCACTGTACGCGGCTCCATAGACACACAAGTCTGGAGTATGTGCGCACAGCGTGTGTCCCCAAAGCAAACAGCTTGCTATGGGGGACACACGAAGAAGAGGAGAAGCCGAGATAGCTGGCGGGGGACCTGAGAAGAGGATGGTCGGGGCCACTCTGTGCAGAGCAGGTGACTATACCATGTTTGTTATTTTCATTGAAAAAAAAATGTCAGCCTTTAGTAAACAAATACAATTGGTAATACTCGTGAGCCCTCCCCTTGTGCAAAAAATCAATAAATCGTCAAAATCTTAATATATCCAATTATGGTGCATCAACACTTTACACAATACTCATTATCTGTGCAAAACCATTCATAAGACATAATATATCCTTTATTAACACTTTAATGCCGCAGAGAAAACTTTCATGATTGGTGGAGAGGCTGGTGACATGACTTTGATAGGTCATGTGACCTGGATCTCTTTCCAAAAGCTTGTTCAACCCCTTGCCCTCCAGAGTATTCCCCCCCGCCCCCCTTTCTTTCCTGACCAGGCCATTTTTTACGATACGGCGCTGCGTTACTCTAACTGACAATTGCACGGTCATGCAACGCTGCACCCAAAGTAAATTTACATCCTTTTTTCCCCACAAATAGAGCTTTCTTTTGGTGGTATTTGATCGCTTGTGCTTTTTTAATTTTTTGTACTACAAACAAAAAAAAAAAAAAAAGAATTTTCAAAAACAATATTTTTTACTTTTAGCTATAAAAATAAATAAAATTTAAAAATAAAATTTCGTCATAAATTTAGGCCAAAATGTATTCTGCTACATTTCTTTGCTAAAAAAAAAAAAAAATCCCAATATGTATAAATTAATTGGCTCACGTGAAAGTTATAGCGTCTACAAATGGCGGTATAGATACTGGGATTTTTTTTTTTTTTTTCAATACTAGTAAAGGCAGCGATCAGCAACTTATAGCAGGACTGCGGCGGGCATTCTGACACTAACTGACACTGACATCTCCAGAGACACTAAAACAGTGATCAGTGCTAATAAAAGAATTTAAGCTCTTACGAGCCGGGCCCTCTGATTCCTCTTGTACCAAATTGTATTGTAACTGTAATGTCTGCCTTCAGTTTGTACAGCGCTGTGCAAACTGTTGGCGCTATATAAATCCTGTATAATAATAATTAATAATAAAAGCACTGATGCTGTACTAATGTACTGGGCAGGAAGGGGTTAACATCTGGGGCGATCAAAGGGTTAACTGTGTGTTGTTTTACTGTGTGTGTGTTTTACTATGTAAGCATGCTGCTTTGTATGGCTCTGCTATGCAGAGCCATATAAAGCAGCATACTGGAGCTGACAGGGAGAGATCTGTGTTGTTTACATACAGACCTCTCCCCTGTCAGTGTTCCTCGGCGATTGGCTGGGGCCCGGTCATCGACAGCTGTAGCCACCAATGGCGGCGCGGGTAGGGCAGCGCTCGCCCCCTAACCGGAAATGCGAAATCACGCGTGTGTATATATTTGTGATTTTGCGCAGCCCTGCCACCCTGTAGCAGTAGTTCTGCTGTAGGGTGGCCGGGAGGTGGTTAACATTGACACCCGCAGTGGTACGTATGAATAGAGTGCGGTGCAGGAAACAAACAGGAATCGCTGCGAATCTCACACCGCATCAGTGTGAACCGGGACTCAGTGTTCCTGCTAAGTTCTGTGTTTACAAAGAAAGGTTACTGATCTGTAAAACGTATTTATTGTCTTTCAGCTCATGCTATGTGGTATGCAGGAGATCGACATGAATGACTGGCAAAAGAATACAATCTATCGGCACTACACAAAAAACAGCAAGCAGGTCCAGTGGTTCTGGCAGGTGGGTGTGGTTCTGGCAGGTGGGTGTGGTTCTGGCAGGTACTTCTATCTGGCTAGAATTCTATTCTGGATCACTGGAGCTTGGGCAAGCCCATCTGTGCCGGAAATTGAATCCAATACCCAATGCTTCAGCAGCACTGCCCACTTAGCACCAGATGTTTCCAGCAAGGGGGGGCTGTTAGGCTCCATTCACACTAGGGCATTTTTCAGCTTGACGCCTGATACTCAGAAACACTCAACAAGCAAAATCCAATTCATTTCTATGGCCCTTGTTCACATATGAGCGTTTGGTCGCCTATAGCAAAACGCCTGTCACTCAGAAGAGTACTTGCGCTGCTGTTCAGGCAGATCTGAGCATTTTGTCCCCATAGACTTGAATGGAAAACACCTGAACAGTGGGAATTCGTTTTTGTTTTTTTCATGTGTTTTTTTTTTTTTAAGCGTTTTCAGCTCAAACAGCAACTATTTCTATTGGCCACAACAAAAACGCCTATAATATTGGGTTATAATATGGGGCAGCACAGTGGCTAAATGGTTGGCACTTCTACCTGGCAGCATTAGGGGTCGTTGGTTCAAATCCCATCTGTGTACAGAACACCTCGTGGTACCCATTGCAAAAAATTACAGCGGCTGCAGATTGGAAAGGAAAGGGAATTCTTACAATTACAGAATGACTTGTGTAGTAATTGTGTACACTACATTGTGGCAGCACAGTGGCTAAGTGGTTAGCACTTCTGCCTGGCAGTACTCGGGTCGTTGGTTTGAATCCCAGCCATGGCACCACCTGCCTGGAGTTTGCATGTTCTCCCTGTGCATGCGTGGGTTTCCTTCAGGTACTCAGGTTTCCTCCCACACTCCAAAGACATGCTGGTAGGTTAATTGGCTCCTGTCTAAATTGGCCCTAGTATGTGTATGTATGAATGTAACCTCCTTGACCTCTCCGCAGTCTTCGACACAGTCGACCACCCCCTCCTCCTCAAAAAACTACACTCCCTCAGCCTCAGAGATTCTGCTCTCTCCTGGTTCTCATCCTACCTGTCACAACGCTCTTTCAGCGTTACCTATAATGCTACCACCTCCCCCTCATTCCCCCTCTCTATTGGGGTCCCTCAAGGTTCTGTCCTCGGGCCCCTTCTTTTCTCCATCTACACCTCCTCCCTTGGCCAACTCATACACTCTCACGGCTTCAACTACCACCTCTATGCCGACGACACACAAATCTATCTCTCAACCCCCCACCTCACCCCCTCGGTGCAGACTCCACCTCCGCAACATGCAGACTCCACCTCCGCAACATCGCCAAAATCCGCACGTTCCTAACCCCAGAAACCACTAAACAGCTCATCCACTCCCTCATCATATCACGACTTGACTACTGCAACTCCCTCCTCACTGGCCTGCCTCGCCACAGGCTATCCCCGCTTCAGTCCATCCTGAATACGGCTGCCAGACTCATCCACCTTTCTAACCGCTCCATCTCCGCCACCCCCCTCTGCCAATCCCTCCACTGGCCTCCACTCAGTGTCCTCCACCCCTCTCTGCCAATCCCTCCACTGCCTCCACTCAGTGTCCTCCACCCCCCTCTGCCAATCCCTCCACTGGCTTCCGATTGCGCAACGGATCAAATTCAAAATCCTAACACTGACGTACAAAGCCGTCCACCATACTGCCCCCGAACTACATCACTGACCTAATATCCAAGTACCACCCAAAACGCACACTCCGCTCCTCACAAGACCTCCTTCTCTCTAGTTCCCTGGTCTCTTCCTCCCATGCCCACCTCCAGGACTTCTCCAGGGTGTCACCCATCCTCTGGAACTCCCTGCCCCAACCCATCAGATTATCACCTACTCTCCTCTCCTTTAGGCGCACCCTGAAAACCCATCTCTTCAGGGAAGCCTACCCCACCCCCTGCTAACTTGCCGATCCCCTCCACTCTTCCTACCACCCCATCCCCCACAGCTATCTCCTCCTGTACCACAATCCCCTCCCTCCTAGATTGTAAGCTCCAAGGAGCAGGGCCCTCAATCCCCTCATGTTTTGCATTGTATTGTTATTGTTCTGTCACATGTTCTGTCCCCCTCTGTAATGTACAGCGCTGAGCGAACTATCGGCGCTTTATAAATACTGTATAATAATAATAATGTAAGTTAGGGACCTTAGATTGTACGCCCCTGAAGGGTTAGGGACTGATGGGAATGTACAATATATACACTAGTGGCCAAAATTGTGGATACACCTTACACTTTTACAAACTTTTGCAGTTTAAAGTACTTTTTATATAAAAATCTCTAAAAAAAAAAAAAAAAAAAAAAGTCATAGCACAAGTAAAATGTAATATAGTAAATTAATGCCTTAACAAAAATATCTTTAAATAAGTTCAATTTTGGCTGGAAATGTACCATATGATGCCAGGAATTGATTATTCCATGGTCTCGAACAATAATCCAAGCAACAAGCGAGGACTCCTTGAGGCTCGCTTGTTGCTTGGATTCTTGCTCGAGACCATGCGTTTCAATCTTGACCACAGATTTTTGATGGGATTCAAGTCAGGGCTATTTCCAGGAATTTTCTTGTCATTGAACCATTTATGAGCTGTATGGCATAGAGCTCCATCCTGTTGAAAAGTAAATTCTGTGCCTTTGTCCGATAAGTCGCTTGTTGATGGGATCAACTTTGGTTCCTGGACCTCTTTGATGTATCGCTCTGCATTCATAATGCCATCAATAACCTGCATTTGTCCAACACCATACCGAGGCACGCAGCTCCATATCATGACGCTTTGAGGGGCTTTCATCGTTGCTGTCATGGACTCCGGAAGGCATTCTGCACCTGACCTTCTTCGCACGTATCCAACACTTCCGAAAATAATTTGTGTTTCATCCCTCCAAATAATTTTTTTCCAGTCTTCTGTTGTCCAATTTTGATGTTCCTTGGCCCATTCGGACTCTTTTCTTCCTTTGTCGGCAGTTCAAAAAACAAGGGAGTAAGTAAAGATATCAACCAAAACTGACAAATTCAGAAGGCGTATCCACAATTTTGACCACTAGCGTATGTAAAGTTCAGCGTAAATGGACGGCGCTATATACGTACCTGAAATAAATAAATAATATTTGCGAATCTGCTAAAAAAGAAACGCTCAGACGCCTGCAAAAACGCTTGAAAAAAACACTCAGCTCAGTGTGAATGGAGCTTTCATGGAGCAGCGTACAAAGACCTTTTAGACAGTTGTACACTTCTTTCCTTGTGAAGGAAAGCCCCTTCCTATCCCAGCATGACTGAACCCCTGTGCACCAAGCCAGCTCCAGAAATACGGAGACTGACAGTTTGGTGTGGAGGTTTGCACAGAAGCTTGATCTCCGCTCCCAGGCCTGGCTCAATTTCAGATGCGACTTGAGTTACAAAGAATCGCATGACGGTGGAAATCGGATTGTTTTGAATGGTGCCTGTTCACATCAATGCGACTCTGCACAGAGCGATTTTGGGAAAGGTTCCTGTACTACTTTGGTGCAATTCAAGTGCGTTTTTTTTTTTTTTTTTTTTTTTTGGCCCATAGGATGTGCAAACCTTGTCAGAGTTGCATCCAAGTGACATCCAAGTAGCACTTCATAATCGCACTGGAAATCAGATCAAAATTGTAACTCAGCAGTGTGAACCTAGCCTAATAAACACCTTTTGGGATGAATTGGAATGCAGATTGTGAGCCAGATCTTCTCATCCAACTTCAGTACCTGACCTCATAAATGCTCATTTTGTTATTTATTTATTTCAGGTACTTATATAGCGCCGTCCATTTCCGCAGCACTTTACATATATATTGTACATTCACATCAGTCCCTAACCCTCAAGGGGTGTACAATCTAAGGTCCCTAACCCTCAAGGGGTGTACAATCTAAGGTCCCTAACCCTCAAGGGGCGTACAATCTAAGGTCCCTAACCCTCAAGGGGCGTACAATCTAAGGTCCCTAACCCTCAAGGGGCGTACAATCTAAGGTCCCTACCCTCAAGGGGCGTACAATCTAAGGTCCCTACCCTCAAGGGGCGTACAATCTAAGGTCCCTCACCCTCAAGTGTACAATCTAAGGTGTACAATCTAAGGTCCCTGACCCTCAAGGGGAGTACAATCTAAGGTCCCTAACCCTCAAGGGGAGTACAATCTAAGGTCCCTAACCCCCGAAGGGGTGTACAATCTAAGGTCCCTAACCCTCAAGGGGTGTACAATCTAAGGTCCCTAACCCTCAAGGGGCGTACAATCTAAGGTCCCTAACTCACATTCATACATACACATACTAGGGACAATTTAGACAGGAGCCAATTCACCTACCAGCATATCTTTTGAGTGTGGAAGGAAACCGGAGTACCCGGAGGAAACCCACGCAAGCACAGGGAGAACATGCAAACTCCAGGCAGGTGGTTTGGATTTGAACCAACAACCCTAGTACTGCCATGCGGAAGTGCTAACCATTTAGCCACTGTGCTTGGATGGACCCGAATCCCCCCCAGACACACTCCAAAATTTTATGGAAAGACTTCCCAGAGGAGAGGAGACTGGAAAAATGAAACAATGGACTGTAGTTGATTATGTGACATGACCGTGCCGTGTTCGGCTCTCAGGCTCATGTGTCTCTTTGCAGGTGGTGAAAGAAATGGACAACGAGAAGCGGATCAGATTGCTGCAGTTTGTGACGGGAACCTGCCGCCTTCCCGTGGGCGGATTCTCAGAGCTCATAGGTTAGAGTACAAGTTTTTTTGGTCTTTGTTTTTTTGTGTGTGGTTTTATTTATTTATTTATTTTTTGTTCAAAAATTCTCTTTATTTCAAATTGCGAAGCTTCACAATGACAGTAACAAGACGTTCTAGAGCATAAAGGCAGCCAAAACATACGGCAACAGGCAACATTAGAAAGCACATTTGTTGTTGCTGTGATAGCAATAAAAATATCACATTTGTTGGTGTTTAGCAATAAAAATATCACACTTGTGGTGTTTCCAGTGTTGCTGCTGTCATGTATCTGCACACAGACTTTTTTGGGTTTTTTTTTACCTTCATGCATTGAATGCATGAAGGTAAAAAATCTTCAGCCTCTACAACCACATTAAAGCTGTACTGACGTTAATAGACATCCCTCCAGCTTGGATTTTCATCTCCTTTCTGATGAAGCTGCAGACACGGGGATCTTTGCATACAGTTACATTCCTGGGAACTCTGTGGATGTCATGCTCTTAAAGGTTATGTTCACCTTCTGTACCATTTTGCATGTTATACCCATATTCAGGATGTAATATGTTACTGTACAGAAGGTGACCAGAGACTGCAGACATAGTACAAGAGATGACCAGAGACTGCGGACACAGTACGGGAGATGACCAGAGACTGCGGACAGTACAGGAGATGACCAGAGACTGCGGACACAGTACGGGAGATGACCAGAGACTGCGGACAGTACAGGAGATGACCAGAGACTGCGGACACAGTACAGGAGATGACCAGAGACTGCGGACACAGTACGGGAGATGACCAGAGACTGCGGACATAGTACAGGAGATGACCAGAGACTGCGGACATAGTACAGGAGATGACCAGAGACTGCGGACATAGTACAGGAGATGACCAGAGACTGCGGACACAGTACAGGAGATGACCAGAGACTGCGGACACAGTACAGGGGATGACCAGAGACTGCGGACATAGTACAGGGGATGACCAGAGACTGCGGACATAGCACAGGAGATGACCAGAGACTGCGGACACAGTACAGGAGATGACCAGAGACTGCGGACACAGTACAGGAGATGACCAGAGACTGCGGACATAGTACAGGAGATGACCAGAGACTGCGGACATAGTAGAGGAGATGACCAGAGACTGCGGACACAGTGCAGGAGATGAGCAGAGACTGCGGACACAGTACAGGAGATGACCAGAGACTGCGGACACAGTACAGAAGATGACCAGAGACTGCGGACACAGTACAGGGGATGACCAGAGTCTGCGGACATAGTAGAGGAGATGACCAGAGACTGCGGACACAGTGCAGCTGATGAGCAGAGACTGCGGACTTAGTGCAGGAGATGACCAGAGACTGCGGACACAGTACAGGAGATGACCAGAGACTGCAGACACAGTACAGGAGATGACCAGAGACTGCGGACACAGTGCAGGAGATAACCAGAGACTGCGGACACAGTGCAGGAGATAACCAGAGACTGCGGACACAGTACAGGAGATGACCAGAGACTGCGGACACAGTGCAGGAGATGACCAGAGACTGCGGACACAGTACAGGAGATGACCAGAGACTGCGGACACAGTACAGGAGATGACCAGAGACTGCGGAGATAGTACAGGAGATGACCAGAGACTGCAGACATAGTACAGGAGATGACCAGAGACTGCGGAGATAGTACAGGAGATGACCAGAGACTGCGGACATAGTACAGGAGATGACCAGAGACTGCGGAGATAGTACAGGAGATGACCAGAGACTGCGGAGATAGTACAGGAGATGACCAGAGACTGCAGACATAGTACAGGAGATGACCAGAGACTGCGGACATAGTAGGAACAGGTAGGACCGCTTGAGGTCTGCAGAGAAGAGCCGAGCGTCTGGCTCGGTATTCTAACACTGGGGGAATGCCGGGCCGGCTGCTCCATATTCGCTCCATAAGATGCACAGATATTTTCCCCTTTTTTTTGGGGGGGGAAAAGTGCGTCTTATGGAGCGAAAAATACGGTAGTTCTAATGATCTACCATGGCGCTGTTGAGCTCTCAGGGTAGTTCATTGATTCTTCCTGACTGTGAAACTGCCTGGGCAGACAGCTCACACTGACAGTCTGTAGGAGTCCTGCATGGCACCTGCAATCTGCTGATCGCAGGTGCAATGCTTTCCAGGCTCTTACACACCACACACACGCACGCGCACACACACAAAAAAAAAAGTAAATGTTTTTTTTTACCTGCAAAAAAAAGTGCATTTATTATTTTTTTTAAAAGTGGACTTATCCTTTAAGCCACTGGCAGGGATTGATGTTTAGGGAACAGACAAGCAGAAAAGAATGCTTGTCTTTCCTTCAGTCTTCCTCTACCCCCTGCACTCGTTTTATTGGGGACCACACGGGCACTGAATGTTTTATTTTTTATCACAGCATTTCATTTAATTGAAGGATTTTTCCATGAAGCAATAACCTGTATAGCAGTGTTCATTTTTATTCATTGTCCTATGTATGTAACATCGTACCCTTTGTCGGCTTCTTCCCCCTTGCTGCTGGTACCGCTCTGACTTTTCTGCTTGTGTCTTGCAGGAAGTAATGGACACCAGAAGTTTTGCATTGATAAAGTTGGCAAAGACACTTGGCTGCCCCGGAGTCACACCTGGTAAGATCCCTAGCCTAGGGCTCTGGTGCCCAACATGCGGCATTTTTGTACTTGTGATGCGATCCTCAGGCGACTGCGATTTGTAAAAGGGCTGTATTGTCAGTAATCTATAGTAGCATCATGTAATATATCTACATCTCTACCAATCTAATGCATATTACCAACATACAAATATACCTTCAGCATGTCAACTAGTCTCTGACCTTCTCTAGCAGTGTGTTGGCAATCCTCTGTACATAGTGAGATGTATACCTCATGGCGCCACTCCAAGCTATGGATGGAAGGAAAAGGATCACCCCACCGGCAAGTGAGAAGAGGGGAAGCAGGAGGAGTCCAAGCGATTCCAATGTCGGTCAATACAAGTGAAGGGATGGACGCTGCTCAACCGACCCCAGGAGTTCAATGTAGTGGATTGGCCTCAGCCGCCATACTGGCCACGCCCTCTGATGTGTTTCGCCCGCCCACCGGGGCTTGGTCACAGGTTCTGTGACCAAGACCCCCCAGTGGACAAGACGAAAAGGACCGATTGCCACTTTAAAGAAGCTGTTAGCAGGCTTCAGAACTTCTTGAAGCTTGTTAAAAGCCTGCTAGCAGCTTGCGTAACCTTGTGGCGCCTGCCGCACGCAAATGTGCGTCCTCCCAGCGTCTGAGCATTGACGCCGAGCGGCCGCACATTTGCGTGCAATTAAGAAAAACATACGCGCTGAGAGCGCTCGCCCTGCGCACTCCCAGCACACATGTCCGGTACTCAGGAAAGGTCCAGATCTCCTCTTTCGATCGGGACCATTCCCGATCATGTGACGCAGAATCACGGCGGTCACATGAACCTAAAACCCCACCTCCCGGCTTCTGAAACTCTTAAAGGGCCGGGAGGTGCCGGCGCCAAGGGGTTAAAGTGGCAATCCGCACTCTCATTAGGATCTGTGCTAATTATTTAGAAACTAAAGTTGAACGGTACTTTAAATGTTTTAACAAAGCGTGCTGTTCACACTGCTCTTGTACAAGCTGAAGCCTGTGTGAAACAGGCCCTAATTAGAGGAAGCTGCTTGAAGCTTGCCAAAAGCTTGATAAAAGTTTGCTGTTCACACTGCTCTTAGGCCTTTTTCACACAGGCTTCAGCTTGTATAAGAGCTGTGTGAACAGCAAGTTTTGTTGAAGCATTTAAAGTAGCGTTCAACTCCAGTTTGTAAATGTTGAACACAGATCCTAATAGGAGTGCTGATTGCCACTTTAAGCATGCTGCTAGCAGGCTTTCAAGAAGTGCTGAAGCCTGCTAGCAGCTTGCTTAAAGTGGCAATCGGCACTCTCATTAGGATCTGTGTTCATTTTTTAGAAACTAAAGTTGAATGGTACTTTTAAACGCTTTAACAAATCTTGTTCATACTGCTCTTATACAAGCTGAAGCCTGTGTGAAACAGGCCCTAATTAGAGAAAGCTGCTTGAAGCTTGCTAAAAGTTTGATAAAAGCTTGCTGTTCACACTGCTCTTAGGCCTTTTTCAGACAGGCTTCAGCTTGTATAAGAGCAGTGTCAACAGCAAGTTTTGTTGAAGCATTTAAAGTACCGTTCAACTCCAGTTTGTAAATGTTGAACACCGATCCTAATAGGAGTGCTGATTGCCACTTTAAGTATGCTTCAGCAGGCTTTCAACAAGCTTCAAGAAGTGCTGAAGCCTGCTAGCAGCTTGCCTAAAGTGGCAATCAGCACTTCTATTAGGATCTGTGTTCAGCATTTAGAAACTGGAGCTGAATGGTACTGTAAAAACTTCAACAAAGCTTTCTGAACGCTCTGCAAATGCTTTGTCTGAGCTTTCTGTTCACACTGGATGAAGCCCGTGTGAAACAGGCCTTATTGAAGCCAGACTTGGGTAAAAAGGATAAATCTCACAGGGTTTTATTTTCTGTCGTCTTCTGCTTTCAGCTTCAACAGACTGGACCTGCCTCCTTACAAAAGCTACGAACAGCTGAAAGAAAAGCTCCTTTTTGCCATTGAGGAAACGGAAGGGTTTGGCCAAGAATAACAGCTCTGAGGTGGCAGACGAGGGAGGAGACGGCTTCTTCCCTGGCACCAGGTTCCTTCTATCAGATCACAAGGCCTAGTGTGGATGCAAAATACGGCTGTTCCATGGCTAGAGGTTGCAGCCGTGAGATTGATACGCCCAAGAGCGTTGTCCACGCCCCCTGCGCCTCTATGATCCTCAGTCGGATGCGTTGGTCCATCGCCATTTACATTTTTTTTTTTTTTTTAGTTAGGCGTGTCTTAAAGCTATATTCCAGGAATTCAGCCGCTTTGTAAAAACTGAAGGCGCGCTATGAGTTTAGTCCAAGGAGCTGCATGACATCTTTATTATTTACATTTGACTGGTTTATTGCTCTGCCAGAGAAACACTCCAGTCTGAGAGGAGGGAAACGCCCAGAGCGGCTATTCCCGCCCCTTCTCTCTGCAGCCCATTCACAGAAGCCTTTGCATTTTGCAAATGTGATCAACGTATAAAATTCAAAATACTAACCATAGCTTACAAAGCCATCCACAACACTGCCCCGAGCTACATCACCAACCTCATCCACAAATACCGCCCAAATCGGCCATTCCGCTCCTCCCATGATTTCCTCCTCTCTAGCTCCCACATCACCTCCTCCCACGCTCGCCACCAGGACTTCTCCAGAACCTCTCCCATCCTCTGGAACACCCTACCACAACATGTCCGGTCAGCCCCCACCCTGTCTGCCTTTAGGCGATCTTTGAAAACTCACTTTTTCATGGAAGCCTACCCCACCCCCACCTAAGAACTGTACTTGAATCACCTCCACCAGATCATCCCCCGCAGCTATCACCTTTTGTATCCCCTCCCTTTAGATTGTAAGCTCCACGAGCCGGGCCCTCCTGTTCCCTCTGTACTGAAATGTATTGTAATTTTACCGCCCCCTTTATATTGTAAAGCGCTGCGCAAACTGTTGGCGCCATATAAATCCTGTATAATAATAATAATACATAATCAAGGCTTCTCTGACTGCGCTGGAGGAAGGGGTGGGCATAGCAGCTGCAGCGACTCTCTCGTTGAAGATGCAGAAGGATTAGTGTCTCTCTGGTACTATAAAGCTGTCAGTTATAAATAATAGAGCTAAGCCCAGGAGGTGTCATGCAGCTCCTTGGAAGCCCAGGAGGTGTCATGCAGCTCCTTGGAAGCCCAGGAGGTGTCATGCAGCTCCTTGGAAGCCCAGGAGGTGTCATGCAGCTCCTTGGATTTCACTGATAGTATGCCTTCACTTTATGCGTAGGAGCTGAATTCCTGGAATTCAGCTTTAAGGGGTTTGCTATGCATCTGAAGTCTTAAGAGCAACTCCACCCAAATACATATCCCTCTGTTGTTGATGAATTTAAAAAGAGTTGATCCTCCTGGTTAGGCTTCGCGGATTCATTTTTAATGCGGAGTCACTATTGCCCTCAGGTTATGCAATTTCCATAGACTCGTGGGGAGAATCCACTAGAGGGTTCCCAATAGAGTATTTCTATACCTCGTACTCTATAGTCCGGGGCGGACTGACAACTCGTGGGGCCCCCCGGGCAATAGGGGATCATGGGGCCCCTGTGTCCTTGCCCAAACTCAAAAAAGCCTATGATAAAGGTACCAGGGGCATCTCATGGGGCCCCCTACTGACCTTGGGCAGTGCCCGAGTTTCCAAATGGTCAGTCCGCCGCTGTCTATAGTAGGTATACAGACTGCGACCGGTGACAACAGGAACTCCGCTTTCACCCAAACTCATGGCCTGTTTGAGGAGGAAAGATCCGGCACAGTTTTGGATCGCAGTGAAGACAAGGCAGGGGACTGAATGCTTCCTCAACGCCACACAAACTCTAGTAGCCAGGTTTGGGGCGGAGTAGTTATTTTACCGTGACCTATAACCTTCATATAGGCAGCCATTGTGCCAGGCGATCCAAAAACTGTACCCCTGTAGGCAATATTGATCTCACTGGTACAAAGGGAAATCTGCTTCTCAGTACTGTCAACAATGCCTATTTCTATCACGTTTTGGGTCAGCCTACGATATGATCGCCAAAAGATGAAAAATCTAATTATGAGTGGAGTGATGGAGTGTAACTGCTTATAGGATATTTATGGCTTTATCTGATTTTTTTTTTTTTTTAACAGATTTTTTTAATGTTTTTTTTTTTTTTTTTTTTTTTTTTTTTAAACAGATTTTTTTGCACTGCATTCTGAAGCTGGCCACACACAATCAGATTTTAATCTATCAGATCAGCCAAATTTACAAACTGTTTAGTATAAGGCAGTAGATGATTTGATCTTTCCTTCCACCACAGATGGAAGAAAATTTCTCAAGTCCTCCCATCAATGCGGTCATTGTTGATAGAGGAATCCCTCCTTCAGTGGTATTGTGTTCTGCCGTTCCCGACCAGCAGGACACAATGATTACTGCTAGCGGGTATAACCGCTGGCATTCGTCGCATCTAAAGAATCTGAAAGGTTGATTGTAAGCAAGTCGATCTTGGGTATAGTCAGCCTGTCCATAGATTATTATTATTATTATACAGGATTTATGGCGCCAACAGTTTGCTCAGCGCTTTACAATATAACGGGAGACAATACAGCAAGAAGACAGTTCAATAGAAGAGAGACAGGAGGTCCTGATCCTGGGAGCTTACAATCTAAGAGATGGATCGATCTTGTCCGGTCCCTGCTGAACCAGACAAGATGCGATCTATCTATGGCCGGCTGTAGAGGGTGGTGGCATATGGCGGGCCTGTTTGGATCACATAGTTCCTTAGCGCTCCATTAAGGCCTCATTCACACAGAGCATACTATACTAAAGAAGGGAAACAAAGAAACACAGAGCCTCTAAGTGTGTACTGTGAAGGTATTACATAGAAAGATAAGTAGTAACTCACATCTTAGAATTTAAAAACAGGCTCATGGGTAAGGGGGTGAGCCGTCTGTAGCCAGATGTTGTGTGTCTGATCCAGAGAGGAGATCGATTGAGTCCATCAGCAGGTGGTGCTGTGCATGTGCAACATGGATGGTAAGCCTGGTGGAGTCTCCAAGGTGTCTGCCAGCAGGTGGTGCTGTGCATGTGCAGCATGGATGGTAAGCCTGGTGGAGTCTCCAAGGTGTCTGCCAGCAGGTGGTGCTGTGCATGTGCAGCATGGATGGTAAGCCTGGTGGAATCCCCAAGGTGTCTGCCAGCAGATGGTGCTGTGCATGTGCAGCATGGATGGTAAGCCTGGTGGAGTCTCCAAGGTGTCTGCCAGCAGGTGGTGCTGTGCATGTGCAGCATGGATGGTAAGCCTGGTGGAATCCCCAAGGTGTCTGCCAGCAGATGGTGCTGTGCATGTGCAGCATGGATGGTAAGCCTGGTGGAGTCTCCAAGGTGTCTGCCAGCAGGTGGTGCTGTGCATGTGCAGCATGGATGGTAAGCCTGGTGGAATCCCCAAGGTGTCTGCCAGCAGATGGTGCTGTGCATGTGCAGCATGGATGGTAAGCCTGGTGGAGTCTCCAAGGTGTCTGCCAGCAGATGGTGCTGTGCATGTGCAGCATGGATGGTAGGCCTGGTGGAGTCTCCAAGGTGTCTGCCAGCAGATGGTGCTGTGCATGTGCAGCATGGATGGTAAGCCTGGTGGAATGTCTCCAAGGATGTGTCTGCCAGCAGATGGTGCTGTGCATGTGCAGCATGGATGGTAAGCCTGGTGGAGTCTCCAAGGTGTCTGCCAGCAGATGGTGCTGTGCATATGCAGCATGGATGGTGGAGCCTGGCAGAGTCTCCAAGATGTCCGGGATCAGCACATGTGGCATCTGACGTCATCAAAATGCGACGCGTTTCTGTGAGTGTGCAGGACGAGGCCCCTGCCCATTTGGAACTCATCAAACATACATGGACTGCCACACCATGCGCCTGTTATCCCTTTCATACTATACTAAAGCCAACCCATGTTTTCCCGCACTTGGATGCATAGGTGTTCCGTGCATCCCCATGCAAGCAGTTCCATTCATGTCAATTGAGACAGAGCAGCTGCACGGATACAGCCACTGATCCCAATTTTACATCCATGTGGGTGAATGTAAACTTTGGAATTCGCACAACTTGCATTGAGGGACATGCACCAGCACCCACACGGATGACATCAGTGTAATGGGATGTATAGAACACCTGTGATTCCCCTTCACGGGCGTGCGGTTGGTACAAACGCTGTATGAATGAGGCCTTAATCTGCACAGTTGAATTTGGTCCATGAGGGAGGAGGGAGAGCGCAGGTCTAAGTGCAGGGGGGGGTGGTGGTTGGAGACGTGTCACCCAGGTCCATGCTGCTAGTGCCGTTATCTTTGAGCAGAATCAAAAGAGTTTTGGGTGTTTTTTTGTTTTTTAATAATCATCCCAGTTGATTGTTCCGTCATCAGAGAGGCCCCACCCATGGACAGGAGATCATCGCTCATTCTGCCCGAGGATAACCAGTTCAGGCAACTACCCCAACTACCCCAACTACCCCAACTACCCCATGGTATGTAAAACTATAAACCCCAAATCTATATAAAATGTAATCCCATTCAGTGAAATCGCTTTGTTAATGTAAGGTCAAAAGTCATTGTAAAGTGGAAATAAAAACTAAAATTAAAATCAGCAGCTACAAAAACTGTACCTGCTGACTTTTAAAAAATGGACACTTACCTGTCCCTCAGTCACGCTGTCCCCCCGTCCCCCCCCACAAAGATAAGATTCAAAAGTCGTAGTAGGAAACGTGAAGAAAGAGTGTAAAACCATTAAATCAACATTTATTTACCCCCTTCCAGTCCGGACACTTCCCCCCCCCCCTCCAGTCCGGACGCTTCCCCCCCCCCTTCCAGTCCGGACGCTTCCCCCCCCCCCTTCCAATCCGGACGCTTTCCCCCCCCTTCCAATCCGGACGCTTTCCCCCCCCCCCCCCCTTCCAATCCGGACGCTTTCCCCCCCCTTCCAATCCGGACGCTTCCCCCCCCCCTTCCAGTCCGGACGCTTTCCCCCC